TGTGTGTGTGTGTGTCCTCACCTTCAATGGGTCTGGGCACGAAGTGTGAGCATGGTTTAGTTTTCTTGACCCGGTTTCCCTTCATGATGATTCCTTCTTTATTGAGTCCGAGGAACCAGGCGCGTCCGCTCTCATGCTGGCGATACACCGTGGATGAGTAGATCACATAATAATTCTCAAAAACACTCTCCTTAAACTTACACTCCGCTGTGAATGTATCCTACAGACAGACAGAAACAGAGAGAGATCGAGAGAGATGTTAAAACACAATTACAGCTCTCAGGTGTGTGTGTGTGTGTGTGTGTGTGTGTGTGTGTGAGTGTGTGTGTCTTTATAGAGTCTTTGTCCCAGTTTCTTTATAAAGTGTTTTGCATGCACAGGTGGAGAGGGTGGAGACCGCCATCATCCAGAGCAGAAACCACCTCGGGTGAACACACACACACACACACACACACACACACACAAACATTTGACACAATTAATGTTTTGTATATATTTCATACAGTGGAGTATAAAACCTGAGACCACCAGTGAAATTGTTTATATTTTGCATTGGGAATTTAACCCGTTTAATCCCACATTTTTCCCAGACATGAAAATAACCAAAGGATGTATCATTAGTGACAACTTTGAAATAATAATTATTTTCTGATTTTTTTTTTTTTTAAAGTGTGTGAAAAATTGTGTTTTACGGTCACAAAAGTTACAAATTATATTAGCAGAATAACAATGTGAGTGAAAAATGAAACTAAAAAATGCATATAATTTGGGAATGTGCATTTCGTACTTTAATGGAAGCAAGAAAATCACTTATATTTTATTAATCCCTAAATTCTGAAATATTTATTTTGTTTTACATCATAATAGAGTTATAGTCGTGATGACTATCACTGTGGATTCCCTCGAGATTTTCCTATGGGTTTTTTTATAATGAAGTTTTTGCAATTTAAAATATTTATATTTGAGTTTATAACAATTAAAACAATTATCATATATTTACCACAAACCTTGAGTAAAACAAGGTTTGCGCTAAATATAAAATTCAAGATACATAGACATTTGGCTCTGCAGTGTACATTACACACATCCATCCTGAAAACATGAATTATGAAGCAAATATTATTCTATTTAAAAATGTATGTACGTATGAGCATTATTACACTTCCATATATGAAATATATTGTCATATGAAGTGAAAAAATATATGAAACCTATAAAAAGAAATTGGAACAATTTTTTATATTAACATATATATCGAACCCATACAAATATGTATGTTTATGTAAGTGCAATCCATTTTTGGACATATATGTCATGTACATGTATATTTGTCCTGTTAATAATATATAAGTAAATAAAAAAAAGATAGACATGCGTTTAAAAATGTAGATTTTTGTATATACTGCATGTTTTTAAAGCTGCATATACAGTATCTCACAGAAGTGAGTACACCCCTCACATTTTTTATAAATATTTTATTATATCTTTTCATGTGACAACACTGAAGAAATTACACTTTGCTACAATGTAAAGTAGTGAGCTTACTGCTTGTATAACAGTGTAAATTTGCTGTCCCCTCAAAATAACTCAACGCACAGCCATTAATGAATGTCTAAACCGCTGGCCACAAAAGTGAGTACACCCCTAAATGAAAATGTCCAAATTGGGCCCAAAGTGTCAATATTATGTGTGGCCACCATTATTTTCCAGCTCTGCCTTAACTCTCTTGGGCATGGAGTTCACCAGAGCTTCACAGGTTGCCACTGGAGTCCTCTTCCACTCCTCCATGACTACATCACGGAGCTGGAGGATGTTAGAGACCTTGCGCTCCTCCACCTTTTGAGATACTGTAAATGAAATATATATTGTTGAAATATATGGTTGCTGCAATAATACCATATAAAAATCATCGTATAGATATTATTATGTACATCTTACTATGGGGGTTTTATATATGTTATGAACTTATATCTACCCAGAGAATGTACATATGTGAAAATTATATTTTGCCTTATAAGTATCATATATGGCAATATCACTCTTAATATAGGTCAATATATGTCATTTATTACATTTCCGTATGGAGTTCTGTACGACAAAACGTCTTGTCAAAGTATTGTCAAGTTATATTTACGACAGGCCTTGTTTTGCTCATGAATTGAAAAACTCCATTATAAAAAGTCATGGGAAAATCTCAACCCAAGGTGAATTAGTCTTCTGGGTTTTGACGTCGCGGCTGCTGCACTTTATGGTTTTATTTTAAAATCCGAATGCTAAAACTTTATTTATTTATAAAACTTTATCTGGTTATTTCCAGGTATTTGTTCATTTTCAATGCGGTCTCAAACTTTTGAACCCTACTGTATATTATACACACACACACACACTCTCTCACTCACTCACTCACTCACACACACACACACACACACACACACACACACACACACTCTCTCACACACTCACACTCACACACGCACACACACACAGAAGTAAGGGAGATGTGCGCTCTTTGCCATCTCAGCATCTCAAAGCACTTTAGCAGATTAAACGTCACCACTAAATAACCGGTAGAAAACCTCACACACACATACAACCCTGATCTACAACATCCAGACAATAAAACTGCTGAACACACTCAGCAAAACACAAATTACAACAACACCAATCTGAGAGGGGATATCCGTGTGTTTACAAATCAATGGAAGGCAATTCACAAATATAAAAAATAAAACCATAGGCGGAGCATGTGTAAGGCTGGCCATGGGACTTGGGGCAAAAGTGGCACTAAATTGGACAAAACTGCCCCTGCACAAAGTGAATATGAATAGACAGTGTCGATTGTGGCATTAAATTAAGATCTACTCATGTTGCACCGTATTTAATTTTAGGCGTTTTTAAAGTGTCGTGCATTTTAACCAATCACACACAATTCTGTTGAGCTTAGGAATGCAATGGCCAATCAGAGGCGTTCAGATGAGTCATCGTTGAAACAGATCAGTTTTGTTGAGTGCGCGCGCGTTTGCTGACTGAATTCCGGTCTCTTGCGAATTCTCTCATCATAAACAACAAAGCGCAGATGTACGTACAATGTAAGAGATTAATTTCACAGTGTATACAGCTTCAGTGATTATAACCATAGTTTTGTTTTTTTAAGCGTGCTTAAACTCGCGATAGATCAATGTTAGTGATAATGCCACTTTCTATCATTTATGCGCTGTTTGATTAACCATGGAAAGGAAACGTTATATAATTATCAATTTCTAACGTTTTTATTCAATTGTAATCACGTTAAATACAAATTCAGTCCCATAAAAACTATTTTTAGCCTACAAGACATGTCTGGTTCTTGGGTTTATGATGTTTAATACACTTGGCTGCTTTTAGCCTTACCCTGGAGTTGGTTCACCCTCCGCCTATGCATAAAACTATCAAGGTTAATTAAAAAAATTCATAAATTCAGTAAAAACATAAAAATGATATTGTAAAACAAACTGTGATTGGCTGAAGTTATCAAACAGTAATGTGGGTGTTCACCTAGGAAAGATGTTTAATGTATATTAATCAAAATACGTTTACAGATCAATTTTACATTTACAAAACAAAACAGATTTAATGACAAATGAACGTTTCATTTAGTGAAACTTGCATTAACTTGTGAATTTCAAACAAACATCACCACGTGCCAAAATACACAGATATATTAAACACAATTTTGTGTGCATACAGTTACAAGCACTGCTGAATTCTTCATAAAACTCAACATCACCGCTGCATTATTACCTCAGTTGTATATTCATTTTCAATCAGTTGTCAATTATTTCTTGCATACACACATACATACTGCATTGCAACACTCACAAACACAAACACACACACACACCCAGACAAAGAAACACACACGCATGCATCGACTGTCACACTTTGGCAGAAGTTCATTATCACACTAAAACTGAGTTGATTAACACTTTCTCACCCCAAAGATAGAACAAGATCCAGAACAGCTGATCTTGACACACACAGACATGTGTAATGTTACATAACACCAAACATAAACCTTCTTTAATATGCATTTCTATAAGTTCGGTCTCTATACTGTATAAAAGATCAAGCTGCAACGGCACAACGATGCTGACCTTTTCATTCACATCGTCCAAAAATGGGTGAAGTCAACTGAATATTCCAGTTTTGTATAAAAGGGTTTTATGTCAGTTCGCATTTCCAATTCAACACTTGAGCACAATTATTATGAACAAACTTGAAATCAATTATATGATTGTTTTTTCCTATATTTTGTGCTGATGTTGAGATAAAACCTGCAAAATTATGTGAAATAAATTTAAATATGGTAAAAAATGGAGCTGAGTACAAGACTTTAACTGCTGAAAGCATCATCAAATCACATGAAATATTTAAGAAATGAACTGAAAATATGCAGAACTTTGTAATATGACAGCCATTTGAAGTTTTGTGTCAGTTTGTGTTTCCAATTAAACACTTCAGCACAATGTATTACAATTATGAACAAACTTGAAAATATGATTGTTTTTGACATATTTTGTGGAACAAATTTAAATATGGTAAAAAAATTAAATTGAGCTGAGACTACAGCAGTGCAACCGCTGAAAACATCATCAAATTACCTGAAATATTTAACAGACAAACAAAAAATGTGCAGAAATTTGTAAAACGACAAAGTCTGGGTTTTGTATCAGGTTGCATTTACAATTGAACAATTAAGTAAAATTTATTATGAACAAACTTGAAATCACACTTATTATTAAATTTTTCCAATATTTTGTGCTGATGCTGAGATAAAATCAGCAAAATCCTGTACAATGAATTTAAATATGGTAAAAAATGAAATGGAGCTGAGACTAATTTACTTTAAATATTTAATAAATTAACAGAGTAATTTGAATTATGAATCAGTCTGGATTTTGTGTCAGTTTGCATTTCTAACTTTACAATTAAGCACAATTTATTACGAACAAGCTTGAAATCACTGTTTTCCTCCATATTTTGTGTTGACGTTGACATAAAATCTGTGCAATTCTGTGGAACAACTTTAAACATAGTAAAAAAAAAATTATTTAATGCAGCTGAGAGTACAAGACTTGCTGAAAGCATCATCAAATTACCTGAAACGTTTAATAAATGAACAGAAAAAGTGCCGAACTTTGTAAAATGACAGCTATTTGAATTCAGACACCCTTTCTTTCATGTAGGCCTTGGCTGGTGCTAAAATTGTTTTGCAATGGGGATTTTAAATGTCATTTTTACTCACAGTTGGGTTATGAGAGCGGCCCAGTGCTGCCATGAGATTTAAAGTCCTTTCACACTCTTCACAGCAAACTGACTGATGTGTGTGTGCGAGTGTGTGTGTGTGCGAGCGTGCGTGCGTGAGTGAGTGTGTGTGTATGTATGTGTGTGTGTGAGTGTGCGTGCGTGCGTGCGTGTGTGTGTGAGTGTGCGTGCGTGCGTGCGAGTGAGTTTGTGTGTGTGTGTGTGTGTGTGTGCGCGTCTAAAAACACACTCACACTGCTTGCTTTCTTTGTGAATCAATGTAGCTCAGGAGCTACACTTGAAATTTTAATAGATCAAGTCTGTGAATTATGAATGTAGACGGGAGTAGAGACTCGCTCTCTCCATCACATGACTGCTGCTTCCAGAACCTTCTCGCTGTTGTGTTTTAGACTACATGAGAGAAAGCTAGCGTTGCAATCCTTCTTTTGACTTGCATTTTCTGCAATGAACACATCCAGAAACGTAAGTTTGCTGAAGACGAAGGCAAAATTTGAACTATTTGAACCATTTTTCATCGATGTACATTCAGTATTTCATTCAATTTCCAACATTTCGCTCAATTAACAAAAACTGTATAAACATTTCAGATTAATGCATGACAAAAATAGTCAACTTTGTGTTGAAAAACCTGTTTTTACTGACTCTGCCCACCATCGTTCTGTTCAGATATTTTACCTTTAGTACAAATAGCATATTACTTAAGTTTACATTTTGTATTGCATCTATCAATATTTATACTGTGTAAACAAGATGCCATTTGTTTACAGTATCTGCCAATATAGATATAGCCTCTATCTTTTTATACTTGTAAATATGGAGAACAAAACTGGCAAAAATTTAAATAAATAAATAATTAATTGTATTTAATAACAATAATTGTATTTATTTTATTAAATCATTTATTTCTTTATTTTCCTATTGGTACATTTAATTAATTAATTATTATTATTATTTAAATTTTTGCAGGTTTGTTCCTCCATATGAAAATAGTAGTTGGTATAAATTTAAATTTTAATCATTTTAATCACAATATTGAAGCTCTGACCTGCAATAAATCCAGTAAAACACAAACAACACCTCTTCACACACAATATATTAGATAGGTAGATAGATAGAACGACAGAACGACAGATAGAACGATAGATAGATAGACAGACAGACAGACAGACAGATAGAACAATTGATAGAACGATAGATAGAACGATAGAACGACAGATAGAACGATAGATAGAACGATAGATAGATAGATAGATAGATAGATAGATAGATAGATAGATAGATAGATAGATAGATAGAACGATAGATAGATAGATAGATAGGTAGATAGATAGATAGATAGATAGATAGATAGATAGATAGATAGATAGATAGATTGATTGATAGATAGAAAGATAGATAGAATGATAGATAGATGATAGTGAAATTAGTTAATTTCAGGGTCTGCTGCTTCTCAAAGGGCAGATGTTTCAGATGCAACAAAAGAATATTCAAAAGGAAAAACGAGGGATGGAATGGAAAAGAGAGAGAAATTAATCTACTGAGTGTCAGAGGAAGGTTTCAAACACTCGTAACGCTGCTGCTGATTCAGTTCCAGTCCGTAAAAATCGACAGGAGGGAAAAAACCCAGAGGAGAGAAAAAAACAGGAGCAGCGGAGGAGTGCAGCAGGATAACGGAGGGATGGAGGGGGAGGAGAGATCAGAGAACCAGAACAAGGGATGAGTGTGTCTGTGTGGGATTGAGAGCAGAATATGAGAGAGAATTCATGTGAACAGAGATATTCATGTGATGAGGAACATACTCTACACAACACATGAACACAATCTCAATTCACAATCCACAACGCAAGTACATTATCGGTCAAAAGTTTGGAATGATTATGATTTTTTTTTTTTTATTATCAATGTTGAAAACAGCTGTGCTGCCAAATTTTTTGTGAAAATGCCGTGATACATTGTGATACACTACCATTCAATTTTTTGAAAGAAATTAATACTTATATTCATCAAGGATGCATTAAATTGATCAGAAGTGACAGTAAAGACATTTAGAATGTTAATAAAAGATTTCTATTTCAAATAAAAGCTGTTCTTTTGAACTTTCTATTCATCTGTGAATCCTGAAAAATAAAATGTATGACAGTTTTCACAGAAATATGAAGCAGCACAACCATTTTCAACATTGATGATAATCAGAAATGTTTCTTGAGCAGCAAATCAGCATATGAGAATGATTTCTGAAGATCATGTGACACTGAAGACTGGAGGAATGATGCTGAAAATACAGCTGCACATCACAGAAATAAATTATATTTTAACAAATATTTCACATAGAAAACAGCTGTTTTAAATTCGACAGTAAAGACATTTAGAATGTTAATAAAAGATTTCTATTTCAAATAAAAGCTGTTCTTTTGAACTTTCTATTCATCTGTGAATCCTGAAAAATAAAATTTATGACAGTTTTCACAGAAATATGAAGCAGCACAACCATTTTCAACATTGATAATAATCAGAAATGTTTCTTGAGCAGCAAATCAGCATATGAGAATGATTTCTGAAGATCATGTGACACTGAAGACTGGAGGAATGATGCTGAAAATACAGCTGCGCATCACAGAAATAAATTATATTTTAACAAATATTTCACATAGAAAACAGCTGTTTTAAATTCTAAAAGTATTTTACGATGATTTTTACTGTATTTTTGATCAAATAAATGCAGCCTTGGTGAGCAGAAGAGACTTCTTTTAAAAATAAATCTTAATGATTCAAACCTTTGTTTGAAAGTGTTGATAGACAGACATTTGAAGGAAACTATTTTGCCCCCCCTCCCTTGAGTTCTGAAGTTTGTTACTGTAAACATGTACACGCTGAACAAGAATTCATGCAGCTCTGTTTCCCTCTGCTTCAGCTTGTTCATCAGCTGTTCTTCATTTTGCTGGAAGCCGACCAGATTCTGACTGTATTGTGTTTCAGTTCTCCAGCTGATCAATATTCTCACTTTAGATGAAAACATGTTTGCTCACAGCTGTCGGATAAATGCGTTCATGTTATATGAGAATTCCCCACAGCTTAAAAACACAACGAAAAGACAAAACTCTGTCCTTAAACAAAAAACTGTGTCAAAACTGATGCTATTTACTTTCTTAATGCACACTCCTGTTCTTGTTGTGAACGACTGCATGTTAAAGTGCATGAAAAAGTGTCTGTGTTCATAATCTTTCATCAAATCGCCAGTTTCACTCACATTATCGTAGTCAAATGGGCGTTTTATGTTGACTTTAACACTGAATCTGTCGTAAGACTCGAGGGCTGAACAGTAATGTGTGTCTCATGTGTGTCACACAAAGACTCGGTGTCTAAGCCTGTTGGACTCGCTAATGTGAGTTTAGCAGATAAGGAGGAAGGCTGTGTGATTCAAAAGCATCTCACAGGAGATTCAAAACATGAGTGGGCACCTTCAAACCACTGAGAGAATACAGGAGCTGGAAGAGAGATAGAACGCTCCAAAATCCTGAGCTTTAGAAGTGAAACATCCCTCTCTAGCACCCCGGGGAGATGAGCTCAGAAGTGTGTGTGTGTGTGTATGTGTGTGTGTGAGAGTGTGTGTGTGTGTGTGTGTGTGTGTCGACGCTCACTAATGCATATGCAGATCTGAAAAATACATGCAAACTGTGAGATCAGGCGCGATCTCACACACACACACACACACACACACACACACACACACACACACACACACACACACACACACACACACACACTCTCACACACACATACACACACACACACACACACACGTGACGATGGTTCTCTGTTCTATCAAGAAAATGTCACCCCAGAATCAAAAGAAAGAAATGATTCATTTTGAGAAACTTTTCATTTAAATAATTAAAATGACAAATTATGAATACTCTAGGATCATTAAGATGTTTTGCATGGTGAAAAACTAATTTTCCCTTCAAATTCTTATTATTGTAATGCATCTGGCCTCATTTTTCTTAATGTAAATAAATATGATAATACAATTATACATATATATATATATACATATATCAAACATTTGGAATCAAGTCTCTTCTGCTCATCAAGGCTGCATTTATTTGTAAGAAAAACAGCAAAAACAGTAATATTGTGAAATATTATTAATATTTCAAATAATTGTTTTCTATGTGAATATATATTAAACTGTAATGTATTTCTGTGATGCGCAGCTGTATTTTCAGCATCATTCCTCCAGTCTTCAGTGTCACATGATCTTCAGAAATCAGTATAATATGTTGAAAACAGTCGTGCTGCACAATATTTTTGTGGAAACCATGATGCATTTTATTTTTCAGGATTCACAGATGAATAGAAAGTTCAAAAGGACAGCATTTATTTGAAATAGAAATCTTTTGTAACATTATAAACGTTTTTACTCTCACTTTTAAACCTTTTTAACATTGCTGAATAAAAGTACCGGTATTCATTTCATTTATATTTGTGCATGGGTTAACGTTCATATATGTATGCATGAAAAGAGAACATTAAGATCTGATGCAATCCAACACATCTTTGATTTCCTTTTTGGATTTCAGATCGTATCAGTTTCTGACACAGGACAGCGGGAACAGAGAGAGACTCACTGTAGTCGCTGTTTTCATCTTTGGTCCCGCCGACTGTTCCATCCGGCTGCATCTGCAAGTAGTAGCCCTGCTCGCTGAAGAGCCTGGTCACTATCCCCTTCAACTGAGGATCTGAAACACACACACACACACGTCACAAACACAATGCCTGCGCACCATCCACACTCTTAGAAACATCTTCAAAGCTTCTTTATAGGTTTCGGAGTTGAGCTAAATGGTTCTTTGGAGAAGATAAACTATCTGATGTTATATTACAGGTTCTTCTGATCTGCTTATGAAGAGCTAGACAACACAACATGTTTTTTACAAAACTTAAAACCTTCTCATAATGTAAAACCCTTCTTCAAACCTTTAAATAAACCACTCTAAACCAATCACACGCAGGCAAACAAGCACAAGTTTTGAATGGGATGGATGCATCATAATGCATGCTGAACTGTAATGCTTAGTATTGTTCTAAACTAATTAATTAATAAAAAAAAAGGAATCCGTCAAGTTCCCGAAACAGCAAGTGCTGCTAACCAATTAAAATGTGTTAATTGTTAAATTACATTAGTAAACTGGCTCCCTTTCTGCTCTGTCTCACTCCCAGCATGTTTTCAAGAGTTTCACCGCAATTCTTAGTATTAAAAAAGGTCACGCGCTATAAAAAGACCAATGCAATCTGAATTACAGACACTTGTACTATATCCCTCATCTCAGAAGAGCTCAGTCGACCAGAATGAACAGAGAGGGGAGAAAAACGTAGCCAAATATGATACAGGCATCATAAACAAACCAGCTTTAATACGCATGTTTAATCAATAACAGAAGAGCTTCTGGTTGTAACATTGAAATGTAGCATTTTCTGTGAAGCTGCTTTGAAACATTATGTAAAACGGTGCTGATATGTGAAAAGTGCTCTAAAAATAAAATAAATTTTTTTATTGAATTATGCAAAGACACACCTGTAACCTTTCAGAATAAAGTAACATGGGTCACACTTTATAATGACATTTATTAATAACATCACACATTGTGGCATTATTTAATGATCATTACCGAAATGAAAAGTCGAAACTTAATACATACTTAAATATATTTGTATCCCTTACTTATCATTTGTATGTAAAGTACATCCACTACCTGTTAAGTATTATAAATGTTAATGCAATCGTATATTCAACTTATTCATATCTAATATACTATATCAATATTTTCAATATCTATATTCATATTTGTATTTATTGCTAAAGTTATCCATTTAAAAAAATCATATATTCAATTATATTGACAAATATTTTATATCTAATGTTTATTTTTATTATATGTAATATCTATTTAAATTTTTATCTAACATTGTATATACACTATTAATATTTTAAGGTGTTTATTGTAATCTATCTTTGTCTGTACATAAACTACCTGTTAAACAATATAAATGTTAATGCAAAGTTATCAATAAAACTATCATATATTCATCTATATTCATATTTTATATCTATATATATTTATAAGTCAATACATTCCATCCCTACTAATACTTTAAAGCGTTTTGTTTTGATAAATCTATCATTTGTGTTTAACGTAGGTAAACTGTTAAGCATTATAAATGTTAATGCAATCGTCAGTTATCTTATTAATAAAACAATCAAGCAAAATCTGACGTGCAGTAATGTAATGTGGCATAAAGAGCGACAGACGCATCAAACTCTCAATCGCTGCTCTCCGCGCGCACAGGTGAGCGTCACGCACAGGTGTGAATGAACTGACCTGGTTTCCGGCGCACGGGTCGTTTCTTCCCGCTGCAGAATCGGACTTTACCGAAGAGTCCGAACAGGTGCCGATCGCACAGGGAGCCTCGACCCGAGGGCTCTTTACCGGGGCTGGAGCGACGCTTACCGGACACCGCTCGCTCGCTGTTTGACTCGCGCGCCTGCCGTCTCTGTCGGATGAGCGAGCTGGCGATCGCCGCGGCCATCTCACGGGAGAGGGAGGGACGATCGTGCAGATTCGGTGCAGATTCACGGTGCACACCACCGGCGCGAGGGAGCGAGCCCAGGCATGCACCGGAGCATGAGCGATACCGATAGACTCGGTATTTCCTACCACGGAAAGCACTTAAGAGTTACATAACCGCGCAATTAGACCACATAACAACACAGAGACCGTCCAAAAACGAGTCCTAACGGAAGCGTCAGTTATTCATGACATGAAGAGCTTCGAAGCGCGCAGCTGCAATGACGGGCGATGGATGTCCGCTTCTCAACTCCTCATCAGTAAGGTCCGGTAAGGAGGACTCCTCAACATGTTGATCTAACAGCCCTCATCCCATCTCCGTCCACGGTCCGGTTCCAGCATCTATCCCGAGATCCGGTGCAGGGAAAAGCCTCAGAAAATCCAATGGAGTGATTCCAACCTACAGATGCATCTTGTGTGATTCCAGCCGAGGAGATGAAGCTCTGAATGATGCTGAGAGAACGAGAGACAGAGAGGGGGAGCAGTGTGTGTGTGTGTGTGTGTGTGAAAAAAATGACACAGTCGCAGCGGGAGCTCAACGGCAGCCTAAACCAAAAACAAAAACCTGGTTGACCAATATGGGGTTTTAAGTGGTGCATCTGCTTATCCTTGAGGTATGGACGCTTGTTTCTGCCACAGGATGAAAAAATTGCCTAAAAAAGGTCACTCCGACTTTTTCTCTCACAATTCAGACTTTTTTATTCTCCCAATTTTTATTTTATATCTTGCAACTCTGAATTTTTTCTCCCAATTCTGAGTTTGCATCTTACAAATCCAGACCTCTTTCATTTTTTATTCTGTGACCGTAACAAATAAATAAATACATAAAATTAAATAAATTCACAATTGCGAGATATGAAGTCAGAACTGCAAGATATCAATTCAGAATTCTGAGAAAAGGTCAGAATTGAGATCAAATGTCGCAATTACCTTTTTTTATTCCATGTCAGAACACAGGAAAACAGAATTGTGAGGTGTGAACTCGGAAAAAAGGAAAAAAGGTCAGAATTCTGAGTTTATATCTGGAAATGTTGAGTATATCTTGCAATTCTTTTTTTTTTTTTTCTTAGAATCACGTGGGGAAAAAGTCTGAATTGTAAGATAAAAAGTCACAATTTATTTTATTATTAAAAATATTATTATAATTTTTTCTTGAGGTGGAAACAAGCTTCCATATCAACACCCTGATATACTCGTGGAAAAGTTATTTTTCGTTCTTCGCTTTGGGGTAAAAAAAAAACTTATAATATAGCGAACATCCCATTTCTTCATTGCAAAATAAGATGGAATCGCTTATTTGACTGCTTTAAAGCAAAGAGCTTTACCGTATTAAACATGAAAAAACAGTGCAAGTGTTGCTTTCAATTAATATTACAACTTTAATTTCTATTATAAAGCAGCTCTTCAGTGTGTTCATGTTTCTATTTGCATCGTCAAAGAAGGCGGAGCCCCAGAGCCACACCCACGTAGTTACAAAATCGCCAGGCAGGGACCAGTGGGAGTCTGAATGTGTTTTCCAGTTTTGAACATAGTTTTTTTGCCTGTTTTTGTTCAAAATGATGTCACACCTGTTCATTCATCGATTTCACTTAAAGTGTATTGTAGTAAATCTACCATCTCAAGAAACAACTCAGTATTTCTCACTGGACAGATTTCCTTGGCTTGACTAAAACATCCCGGCCCAATTTTAAGAAAAAAATCAATGCACAAAGGTCATTTCACAACGCTTGCCAGATGTCGCGTACAAAACTAATGTTACAAACACAGAACATTCTAAATGAACAACATTTGAGAGTCAGTATCGTTAGGACAAAGTTTAATTAGGGCATTTCAAATGCAGTTGTATAATTACATTTATGGATGGTTTGGCTTCATGTGATTGCTTTTTATGATAAACATGGTTAATTTGTGCGGGGAGGTGAACTGAGGTCTGTGATGGAGCAGCTGTCACTGCTGCTGACTCAGGTACCGATATCGTATCGAACACACAGAGCTGTCAGGTGCTGAGAGATGCTCTCTGAAGTCTCCAGTAAAGAGGCCAATCACTGTGACCCAGATACATCATTCAACCTTCATCACACAACACTGATTACTTTATCACTGAGAGAACGAGAGAGAGAGAGAAAGACAGGAGAAGAGAGAGAAAGAGAGGATGTCTATCTATAGTCTCCGCTGAGTAGGCCAGTAGTACTTGTGCACGCTAGTTCACACACACACACACACTATATACACACACAGATTTGAGGTCTACAAGTAAAGCATGAATGCTTAGATCCACTTACTGATTCCTTTTAACTATATATATATATATATATAGTCACTGCATCAATAAATCATGGAAAGAATCAATAAGTCACAGCACCATGTTTTTCCATTACTTTAGCTCATTAAAATAATTAAACCAATTTCAACTTCCTTTAAGTTATATGCATTTAAACTGCAGTGGACCTAATTTTTTATAGTGTACAGTGGGGCAAAAAAGTATTTAGTCAGCCACCAATTGTGCAAGTTCTCCCACTTAAAAAGATGAGTATTTTATGTATTTGATTAAAAAACAAAATTTAAATATTATTACAATTCATGATAAAATTTTTAATGTTACAAAAGTTTAATTTATAATGATAATTTATCATATTTATAATGTTGCAATTTTTAAGGTTTAGGTGTAACGTTGAACTTGATATTTATGTCAATTTTGATTATGTAAAGCACTTTGAACTGCATCTTATGTCTGAAAGGTTCTATATAAATAGTTTATTAGAAAATTAGTATAGTTTATTATTATTATTTTCAAATAATATTTCATTTTTGTATGCATGTATGTTTTGTTTTTTTTGCAAAAGTGAATTTAGACTTCACAACATTAAAATGTACAACATGAAATATGGACTACTCATTTTGAGATTAATAGTTCATGAGGTCAGACCTCCATTACAGGAAAGTGCTGTTCAAGAAGTAGTGCGCTTAAACAGTTAAATCTCAGACATAATCTAGTGTTCTCCCTTTAAATTAGTGCTAGATGACGGCAAAAACAATCTCAAATTGACTGTCACACGCTTTTTTGAACATAGGCCTCAAACTTAAATGGTTGTAATTCATGAATGCTGTGGAATAGAGACCTGAGGTTGGTTCTTTTAAAGAAAACAATCATCAGATTATTGCTAAAGTGAAGACATTTCAAAAAATGCTTAGAAAAAAGTTAGAAAATTAAGTTTATTGTAAAGAAAATGTATTGTACTAAATGTTTTTTAAATATATTTTATATATAAAACATTTATAAAATGTTTTGGAATCTAATATAGCTATAAAATTAAAGCCTTATGTCTAAGTAATGTTCCAAATTTGATGTTGATATCACAAAAATTGTGGATCCTGTGAGATTTTGCTTAGGCGCTATATCAAAAATGTATAAATATACTACTTCTATCACAAAATAACCACCATACATGGAATCTTGAGACCCAGACCTTTCCAATAATACGGGTTTTGTCAAGATTAGAAAACGCTTTGATTATAAAATATTGTAGTAAATTTCGTAATATGACACTTGACACTGCCCACTAGGGGGAGGAGCCTGCTAAAGGCATTTAAAGTACCATTTTCATGGTAGCGCAATGTCCGATGTCAAAACTGTTTTCACTGAATGAATTTTGAGTGTTTAAAGGGGTCATATGATGTTGCTAAAAAGAACATTATTTTGTGTATTTGGTGTAATGAAATGTGTTTATGCGGTTTAAAGTTCAAAAAATACATTATTTTCCACATACTGTACATTATTGTTTCTCCTCTATGCCCCGCCTTTCTGAAACGTGTCGATTTTTACAAAACTCATCGGTCTGAAAAGCGAGGTGTGCTGTGATTGGCCAGCTATCCAGTGCGTTGTGATTGGCCGAATACCTCAAGCGTGTGACGGAAATGTTACGCCCCTCACCATACTGTGATGCCCTGTCCGGCCGGAGCGACGAGACAAAAACATTAAAACCAATTATAAACGAGGCATTCGTTGCATCCAGTGGGGACATAATTATGGATTATAATGATTTATACTGTCTTTTTACGCATTGCGTTGCATTGCGCCGCGTAAACATAAAACCATGTCTGCATTTGTGATCGGAGAAATGACAAACAACAAGCCCTACTCTACACTGCGGAAGACCAAACAAAGTAGTTTCGCTTTCACAACGAGACACAGCGTCACACACGGCGGCCTACAGTGAGCAGAGGCCGGGGGCTACAGTGAGGAACAACCGGCGGGCTGAGTGAGCAGAGGCGGCGGATTTGACGACGGAGGCTTGCGGCAACCACAAGTGACGACCCCGGGCTGGACTCCGCTTCGTCCACGGTGAAAGCCGATCCGGCGATCCACAGCGCAAAGTTGCAGTATTTCCTCAGCAACCAGCACGGATCAGCTCCAGGCATGACAAAGCGATATCGTCCTCTTTTGGAAGACCAAACAAAGTAGTTTCGCTTTCACAACGAAGCACACAGCGTCTTCACGACATGGTGGCAACAACAATACTACAGCCAGAATAAAAGTTACGCCTTCTTTCTTTGCGTGAACATTTGGGCGGTGTTATGCAAATCTTCCCACATAGTGACGTAGATATGTGGGGGCGTGTTAGAACGAGCTGTTTTAGGTAGGTGTGGCTGACTCTTAACTTTTATAAAGAATATCTCTTTGGATTTGAGACTTTAGTCTTTACAACTTTACAGATCTTCTTTATGCACCAAGAGCTTCTAACACTCCAAAGAGAAAGGAAAAATTTAATTGAATAATTTGGATGATTACTAATAATGCAATAAAAAATTAAATAAAAATAAAAAAAGAACACCAAAGCAGTCAACAGATTAAATATCAAATGTTGAAGAAGTTTTACTTTTGTACAATGACCTGTGATAAAATCAGTCAGCACTAAATCAGTGACCTGTAAAGAACAGGATGAGAATAAGGAGGAAGAGGAAGGCCGAGCTTCATCAGATCCTCTCTGAAAGACAAGTGTGAGTGTTGATGATGACCCCTAATGATTCAGGAGTAGTATAACCCCGTCTCAGCACTGCACAAGTGTGTGTGTGTGTGTGTGTCCTGAGGAGTGTCATCAAAACGGATCCCAAAATGAGTGTCTGTTTCAAAGACAGAGATCAGATTTGGAAAAATAAGAAAAGAGATGGAAACTGAAACTCTATAATCTGTATTTAGTGTCTGTGGGTTGGTAGGAGCCGTGCTCTGATTGGTCAGTCAACGAAGGAAGGAACCAATGGCAGGTCAGAGCTATCTGTCATTATAATGACCCCTGATGGAGCAGTTTGGAAATTGATCAGAAAACTCAACACCAACACACACACACACACACATAGGTCATCAACAATTATAAAGTTGCAATCAATATCTTGACCCCTTCACATGGACACATACATATAAAGCGTTTCAAACATGCTGTCGTCTAAAGAAATATATTTGTATAAATATTTTCAGATATTGAATGAATTATAAGTAGG